GGCTCTGGGGGAGAGAACATGAAGCATCGTTAGACCACCTACGCCCAGAGTCTAGAGGGCTGGTGGGATTCGGTTTGCTTGCATCACCGCTTTGGTCGGCTTGGATGTGTGTGGTTTTCCTTTCACCTGACCTCATCATCTCTTCTTGCCCCGTCTCATCTGTGCCCTTTAACTGCTGGTCATCTCCGTCGTTCCCCTCCTCCCCCTTTTCCCACTCTTCCTGCTCCGTTGGATCTTGCTCTTGCTGCTGCTGCGTTTCCTCCTTCATATACGTTGTGCTCATCCTCGCCCTTATCCTGCCTCTCTTTCGTCGAACTCCTCGTCATCATTCCTTCCATTCCCCCACTCGAACTCATACTCCTGATGCTGACGCTGGCGGGCTGTGGGTTGGTCTGAGACGAGCCCGCTGTCTTAAAAGATCATGTCCCGTTGCTTCTCGCCTGCTTACTTATTATTAGTAGTATGTTTCTCATGTTCGCCGCCATCCTCTGCCCACTCCTCTCATTCATCTTCGAGCTCGTACTCTTGATACTGACGCTGTCGGCGTGTGAGTCGGTGTGACGCGTCCGTTGTCGTACTTATCTTCATGAGGCGTCGTGAGACCACGAAATTATACAAACTTGTGTGGTGCTGTGCACGGCCCGAATCGCAAAGCCAGGCGATTTTGGTCACACACCTACCAGGCGACGCAGGTCCAGACGGTGGCAAGTGCTTCACAGCCCTCCTCGGTCATTACATACAGTTTAGCCGCGGCGGCAGCGTGCTCATAGTCTTTTATAAAGCTCGCTCTCCGCAACGAGCTTCGTTCGATAATTCCTTGGCGCTCTGCTGGGCATGTGGAATGCAGCTTCTGCCCCTCAGCAGCAAGTGAAGTATGGATGCAGCTGGTTGCCACTTGCAGGTTGGAAAGGTCCATCCGGAGCCAACTGTTGCGGCACGCGTGTGGTTCCCATCGGCCTCATTATCGTTTCTCCCCTCCCCCTGGATAGTGCGAACCGAGTTAAGAAAGCAAAGCTGCACCGCTCGGAACTTGAAGGCGCAACGCCAGTCCGCGCTGACCAAAAAGTTGAGTCGGCGAAAGTGTGAGTCACGCTCTTTTCTGGCATCCCTGGTCTGCGACTCGATACCAGGTTGCCCGCAGTAGCAATTACGAGCGTCCCCGTGACCAGGCAAGCTTCGGGGTTGGGTTGCCAAATTAGTTGGTTGTCCGTATCGATCGGGCCCCGTCGAGACAAGAATGTCCGACACGTTGACTCGCAAAGCCAAGGTGTTTGCAATCCTTGGCTCCACCCACGAGCTGCTCAAGCAGGACACAGACGTCGTTGTGGCCAAGCGCAGTTGGATTGACAATCAGATCAGCGGCATCGCCGCTGGTATTTATAATATAGTAGCGCAGCTTCCAACTCCAGGCTCTCTGATGCCAGGTGGCAGGACGGAGGCAGCAACGTCGCAACTAGGATGGGGAACAGCAACCACCCGCTCATCAAATCGGCCACTTTTTGCCTTAGCAGGCGCGCTTGATCAGGGGGGTCCTGTCAAGGCCGTTGCCCGTATCATCCTTGGTTTGGGACGGGGGCAGCTATTGACTGCATAGTTCGGACATGGGTCTTTTGTGGGGGGGAAAGGCAAGGAAGAGGAAGTGGGTGTCAACAGGAGGAGGAGGAGGAGAAGGAGAAGAAGGAAGCTGGCGACAAAGTCATCCCTCTCAAAGGGCGCACCCTTTTTTGTTTATTTCTATAGCCACGTTTGAGCTTCAAGGAGCAACCCAGCAACCCCAGCTTCATGCTTTCGCCCTTTCCCGGCCCCCGAGCCCCGCGTCCTTCCACATTCCGTTGTTCCTCCCTTTGCTCACGCCGCAGGTCATCGTGTCAGCCACGCAGAAGCTGGACCGGGCAATCCAGCGGGGAACGCTCGGACCCCTCAGCGGCGCCGAGAGGCGTGCTCCGACAGACCAGCGAGAGTGAGGGCTGGGGGAGTGGCGGAGCGGAGGAACCGGGGAAGCAGGGGAGCGGAGGGAGGTCATGGCAGAGCTGCCACGCAGCCCATTGTGTTCACTGGTGTTCGCGAATGGTCGCCTGCGAGCGGTGATTTTGCTGTGGGCGAGTCCACGCCGTGTGGTGGAGTCTTTCTTCTGGAGGCACTGCTAGCACGTCGCCAGATCAGGCAGGTAACGATTTCGGTCTGCGCGATTTCCAGATCCAGCAGGGCAGCATGTTGGTAAGTTCGTTGCGAGTTGTTGTTGTTTTCGACAGCGCGCCGCGACACATAGAAGGACAACCGCCCTGTTACAGCCACCCCCATTCCAGCACCACCACCACAACTATTTGGCAGCTTCTTTGCGCCTCTGGAGATCCAGAGTCAATTGCTTGTGACAACGGGGTTGGAGGCATGGAGCCCCGTGGTCTTCCGACTTGCCTACATGACCCCTCAGCGGAATAGCCCCACGAGTGAAAACACGCTCATTTTTCCCAGGAGGACCAAGCGTCTCAGGAGTAGCATTTGTAGCCCCCCTGCGAAGATGAGACGAAAACAGTTTGCACTCCTGGTTGGAGGGATTCTTCAGCCAATCATGTTTTTGACCTCGCACATTGTTGCGCAAAGATGGGCACGGGGAGATTCGGACGGCGTTGATTTGGGAGGCTCCTCGAAAACGGGCGGCGAAGGTGAGGAGAAGAAGAGGAGGAGGAGGAGAGGAGGAGGAGGAGAAAGGGGAAACCGAGGTGGAGGATGAAGCGAAGGACTCCTCCTCCTCCTCCTCCGTCAAATGCTGGAGGCGCGACCTGGAGAGTAAGCTCGAGGGGATGGCGGTGCACAGCGCCAAAGTGCAGGACTCGCTTTCGCGACGCGCGAACCGCCTTCAGCGACGCGCGAACGCCCAGCACTCCGCGGTCTCGTCCTCCTCCTTCGACACTCCTGTCGTTGACGCTGGCGCTTCCACGCCATCCACGCCCTCCGCAGAGGCGCAAAGAGGGGGTACCAGCGAATGAGGTAGCATTGGCTTCCAATGACACACGTGCTTGTTCACAACGCTGCGAGCGCAGATTCAGAGGAAGCTGCACCGATGACGGACGCACTGGCATGGCCATCGGCCGCCAGTGTTCCCGGCATCAGGCAGGCAAGTAACCAATCTAGGATGCGGTCTTTCGGCACAATGTGTGTATGCCTTCGCCCAAATGGTGCCTCCCAAACCATAAGATGGGTGTGAAATCATGTTTGCGAGGTCGTGGGCTTTTCTGCAATGGCCACTCTCGTATTCCGCGACCGGTGCTTGCCACAGGGTGTTCTTGCTTTCAAAACGAGTTTGCCTGTTGTGCTGGCTGGGATATTTCCGAGTTCTCGTGCGGCCACCGCCCGTCGCCGCCTCGTCGCCGCCTCGCGTGTTTGCTCGGATATTTCCAGGTTTTCGCGCGGCCGCCGCGTTTTCGTGAGGCCGCCGCCCGCCGCCGCTTTTTGTGCTGGCCGCGATGTTTCCTGGTTTTCGCTTGGCCGCCCTCTCGTCGCCGCCTCGTGTGTTGGTTTGGTCTTCCGAGTTTTCGCGCGGCAGCCGCCCGTCGCCGTTTCGTCGCCACCTCTGGTGCTGGCCCGGATGTTTCCGGGGTTTCCGCTTGGCCGCCCTCTCGTCGCCGCCTCGTGTGCTGGCGGTGTCTTCCGGGTTTTCGCGCGGCCGCCGTCCGTCACCGCCTCGTCGCCGCCTTCTGTGCTGGCGTTGTTTCCGGGTTTACGCTTGGCCGCCGCCTCGTCGCCGCCTTTTGCGTCGGTTGGGTCTTGGGGTTTCCGTGTGGCCGCCGCCCGTCGCCGCCTCGTCGCAGCCTTCTCGTGTTGGCAAGAGTATATTTTTCTGTGCGGTCGCCGACCGTCGGCGCCTCGTCTCGCAGTCTCACTCTCTCCATGCCCATCATCTCTCCATATGTATATATATAGAGAGAGATATGGCACGTGAGTGCCTAGGCTCATGCAAAAATAGGTACAGCACGTAAGCATCGCAGGATATGGACAACAAGAGGAACAAGGAAACCGGAGAGTAGGAGTTGGAGGAGGAGGAATCAGGAGATGGCGAAGCAGCGCGAGCAGGAGAGAAGGAGGACATTGGGGTGCAGTAGCGGGATCGCAGTCGAACGCAGGTGGGGTTTCCACACCTTGCGACGAGTGTGGCTGAGGAATGGGTTGCACACCGTGCGATTGCAGCTGGAAGCGCTCCCCAAAGTCAATTGTGGGAGGTTGCCTCGAGTATGTTTGGGGGAGAATGTATCACGCGAAACGGTAACTATGGTTCCAAGAACAATTTCTGATAACACCGTCCGACATCATTGGAAACCAAAATGGTTTTGAACGATTCAGGTGAACATGTTGAGCATCCTTTGTGTGTTTGGACTTGGCATCGCGATCTGCGTGAGGGGTGCGACTGGTGTTCCAAGTCATGAGGACGCCCCGAACAAAACCAACAGCTCAATCGCGAACAGGAGCGGACGGCTTCAATGAATCGTTCCTGGGACAGATTCCCCCAGAAAGGTACGTCTGACAATATTGATATACACATACATGTTTTACACAGACGTCTTCATACATGGATATCAGGCACACATTCTCTCTCTCTCTCTCGTACTCTTTTACTCTGTCTCCCTGTCTCCGACCACTACGTATTGTCGCCATTGTGCGGCCCTGGGGCCTCATCTGCAGATTGCGGCGGTGGAGAAGTTCTTGAGCATTGGTTACGGCACCTTGCGAGGACATGTTGGCGTGTGTGCATCTGTTGTTGCGTTGTCTCGAACCCTTCTATGTTAAGTCGTACTGCTGGTCCGATCGTAAGTATTCTCCGCATTCCGCTAACAATGACCACTTGGTCCCCGTACCGTGCGATTTGGATATGCGCCATCAACGTTGCGGCTGCCCAGCGAAAGGTTCGCAGGAGAACAGGTATAACGTCAGTATGAAACAGTTGTTGTCCTCACCCATACCCTGGCGCGGATTCGTGTGCAAGGGATGTTCTCTCGCTCCCCGTCTACATCCTCATCCACTTCGTGTGACATCGCATGGAGCTTCTTTCTCCCGAAGCGGTCGTGAATCTGCCTCCCAGCCTATTGGCCTTTTCTCTACCGTCTTTTACATTTCATGCCTCTCCTTGCCCATGTTGTCTCCTACTCGCTTTCCTTCTTTGCTCCTCGGCCGTCACCCGTCAAACGGCCCCCTCACCCGTCTTGCCCTCCCCTCGTCGCTTCCCGCATATCTCACGATACCCCTTGCTTTGTCGTTTCCACTCGAGGTCCCGTCTCGTTGTTGCCCTGTCTTCGCTGTCCCCCTCCCCAGACCCATGTCCTTCCTCCACCCCCGATCTCCCCCTTCCTCACCTCCTTCCTTCCCTTCCCTCCTCCTTCTCTCGTCCTCTCCGTCCCCTCCCCTCCCCCCTCCACCCCCCCTCCTCCCATCCTCTCCTCCCGTCCCCTCCTCCCCTCCATCCCTCCGTCCCCTCCCCCCCGTTCCTTGTTCCCTCCTTTCCTCCCTCTTCTCCGCCCCCAACCTCCGCCCTCATTCCTCCCATCTCTTCCCTCCCCCCCTTGTCCTCTCTACCCTCCCTGGCGTCTTCCCTTGCCTGCCCCTTCTCAAACCTCCTTCCCTCCCCTCTCCTTTTCCCACCCCGACGCACAGAGACGTTCCACACTGCGATTACGGATACGTGCCAACGAGAGCGGGATGAAGAACCACACGGGTGACAGCCGTGCTGAAGAAGGCGACGGACAGGATCTACAGTCACGATGTGTCCAACATCCTGAAGAAGAGGTACCGCGGCGGATTGCTTCCCAGTGGACGCCCCCGACAATTCGTCCGTCTTCAACGACGAGGTGGGGTGCTACATGGGCGTCGCGAGCGCGGCGACCCTCTACCAGGAGGCCTTCCCGAACGCCATCACGGACTGGGCAAACGTGATCGCCGAAGCCAGGTCCCACGAGCGGTGCGAAGGGAACTACGTGCCAACGGAGCTCGTGGACCTCTCGCTGCGCGGGTGTGCGCCGAAGACGTGAGCAGGGTTCACGAAGTGGCCCACCCCGACGGCATGGGAGAGGGCGCCAAAATGTCCAACTATAGGCTCGTCCGGGAGCAGACCAATTTGGGCGGTCGCGGGACCAGGAGGCTCGCACAGAGCGCTGCAAAGACACGCGTCATGCCGAGGGTCGCGGGACCAGGAGGCGGCAAGTACGCCAAGGCAGTCTTTTACAGACGAATGTATACCGACGGCCACGGCTTTGTCACACACACTCGCCCCATTTCCTAGGAACGGTTTTCCACGCGTCTGGATCACGGTGGGACGAGGTATATTCGAGATACCAGGCGACCAAGAGAGGATGGCTCTACATGGGGAAGATCTGGAACGCATGCAGTTCATGAGCGCTCAAGCGCAGAGTTTTCCGCTGCATTGCCGTCGGCCCAGTGCCCTCTGGCACCCCCGCGCTTGGCCTGGCCAGCGCGCATAGGTGGACCGCCCAGACGTCGAGTGCATGAAGTACGGGTGGCCCCTACTCGGCGGAGTGGCGAAGCAACCGGAAGGAGCTGACGGAACCAATATCATAATGCCATCGTGGGAGCAGACATGGCTCTCACTCCAACTCCCGCTCGTTAGGCTGGATCTCAGAGTATTGCGCTTGCGAGAATGGCAACTGGCGGCGCGTAAACCTGACCGACACACGCAACACCTGGCGGCAGCATTCGCCATGGCGATGCACGAGTAGCCCAAGGTGCAGATGTTCAATCGGATAGCCCCAGATGCGGGCGAACTTGTCTCAACTTGTTCGACCAACCCGTGGGCGGAGCAGTTCTTCGAGGACCACCAAGCCAGGCCGGGAGCTCTGGGATACGCTGGAGGAGGAGGGGGAATACATCGACGTGCCGTTAGTTTCCCGCGTCGGCGAGACAGCGATGGGCAGATCATCGCGATCGACATATCCGAGCTGACGGCGGAGTGGTTGGTCGAGGCGCCGTCGCCGATGGAGATCGAGGCCGCGTCGGCCGGCGTCGCCGCCGGCGACCGCGCGCGCCGCCGGGGCCAAGGGAGGCGCGCTTCTGGCCGCTGCGTCAAAAATAGACGATCGCTTCGCGCACGTCAGCGGCGCGCCTCGGGGGGCCGGCGCGGGAATGGGGGCCCCTGTCCATGCTTGCAATATCCAACCAGCGGCATGTTTTGCAGGCCCTCGTTCGAAGACAGAGACTCTGAGACATGACGAAAGCGAATCGCTGCGAGTCGCCGCGGTAGATCGGTCGCCGTCTCCGCCCTCAGACGCTTGCCACAGGGGGGCGCGCCGCGAGAGTCATCTTGCCAGCCGTCTATCGCAGCTGTTCCCTGAATTGCCCGTCGACGTTCCACGCTGCGTCCGCGCCGATGGGCGCGGCGGGCGGCGAAGGGGCAGCAAGGCCGAGGCAACGGAGGGCGATGCATCGGAATCAAAGACAGAAAGACGTTGGACGAGAGCGGCCTCACAGACCCAGGCGAGATGCCGATCGAGAAGTTCCGGCTGCTCGCCCCAGGTAATCTGGAGATGCTGCTGAACCTGGGGGCAAGATAGCGCCGGGCGGACTCCGCGCTGCCGACGGCGGCCCCGGCCCCGGCGGCGCCCCGGCCCATCGCCGAGGCGGGGAACGGGGCGCGCGCGCGGGCGACCACGCGCGGGGGCTGCGCGTGGAGCGGGGGCCACATGGGGCGCGAAGAAAAATGGCGCGGCCAGCCACGTTGCCCCAGTCGGAATCATCGAGGCGCACGAGGCGGCGGGCGGCGGAGATGGGCGGGCGAACGCAGTAAACCTGGGCAAGCTGAAGGCGGAGATGCAGGACCTCCCTTGGGACGCGCGAGAGACCTGGCCCCCGCTCGCGAAAGCGGCGTCGACGCGCGCGGATTCGCGCGCTAAGGCGGCAATAGGGGGGTCGGCGGGCTCGGAGCTGATCGCGAAGCGCCTGGAGCAGTCGGGGGCCGCGATCAAGAGCGGCCAGGCGCCAAAGTCGCGCTCGGAGAGGCTTCTCCGCGCGAAGCTCGCGGCCTTCGAGGAGATCTCGATCGCGCGCCGTCGCCGGCCGCGGCGCCGCCGGCATCGGCGCGGCCTGCGACGTCGGGTTCTGCCCAGGACTCTGGCCCCAGGCGGCGCGCGAGGTCCAGGGCCGTCGCGCCGGCGGGGCGGGGTCTTCGCGCAGCGACGAGGCGGGGGCAGTGGGCGGGGGCGTCGGGGTTTATTTTTCCCGAGATCGGCGCGGGGTCTGGTCCTGCGCATGGGGGGCAACTGGTGGGCTCATTACCTGTGTCTCTCACTCCTCCCACGCGAGACTCGCGGGCGGTCTGCCCTGGCAAGGCGGTTGGGCAAGCGGCTGCTTTCAGTGGGCGTAGCGCAGCAGTCGCCCATCGCCGCTGCGCGTCCGAGTTCTCGCCCCCCGCGGCCTCGCGCGGAGTCGAGGCAGACGACCGGCGCCGCTGGGCCACGTCGACGCGATCGCCTTGGACTTCGAGCGCCGGCTGCGGCAGCGGCCCTCGGCAACCCCCGACGTCGCTGGCCGCGCCGATGCCGGCGACGCCGCAGAGGCCGAGACGCCCAGGACAAAGCGCCTGCACAGCCTCCGCTTCAGAAGGGCCTCGATCACGGATCTTCTAGGGCAGCTCAGAGCATTGGGTTGGGAGTCGGCCAGTGCTCGAGCGCTGGCGTCGCCGCGCGGCTTTCGCCGCGCGGCTCTCGAGCGGGGGGGGGTCTGTAGCTGCGAGCGCCGACGGCAAACTCAGACAGGCACCACGGGATTTGTTCGTGCTTGTTCTTCCTCCCACATTGGCGCAGTAGCGAAGGATCGGTCGAATCAGAGGTCAGGAACCAGTGGGAACCAACCTGGAATCAGGAAGTCGGAGCGGGAAACCAGGAAGCGGGAATGGGGAACCGGGACATTGCAACGGGCCAGGAGCCGGAAACCGGGAACCAGGAACTGGGAACCGGGCATCGGGAACCTGAATTGGAGCCGGGAACCAGGAACCGGGAACCCGGACTTGAACGGGAGCCACCAAGGAATAACCTGAATTTTTGGAAGTTTGGAAGTTGAGAGCAGGGAGCTGGTAACCGTGCATTTGGCGACGAAAAGACTTGATTTCCGCTTTTTCATCCTCTTCGATGATGCGCGCTCGGGGTTGGTTCGCGCCGCTCCATGCCCCATTCCTGAATCCCGCGGCGGAGGGCGGAAGACAGTGACGAACGGATCTACATGATGATCGCCGCGCCATCTCCTTTCGCCTCCTCCCTCCCTGCGCAAGATTTGACCGAGAAACACACGACACCACCCCACCTACGGCCCGCCGTGCTGGATGTTTGCGACATTGCCTCGACGCCCTTCGCGCGGTGCTTCTTGGCCGACGACGGCAAGATGGCGACGTGCTGGGTGGCCGCAGTTCGTCATGACTTCGACCTCCTGGTTGGGGCCACTTCGTTATCAACGTGGTCAGGTTGTTCTGTCAGTTCGCCGTTTGTCTGGGCGGTGTCGTCACGCGGTCTGAAGGGGGCTGCTTCGCTGAATTTGCGGATTTCTCGTTACGCGGGGCACAGGGTGAGTTTGCTTGGTGCTGGGCGACGGGTTGTTCAACCCTTGTTTGTTCAGCCATGTTCAGATGCGGACGCATCTTGACACGCAGACGCACCCGTGTGAGTTTTCCAGCAAACGCATCTTAAGACGCGCCTGCTGGACAACAGATTCGGAGGCGAGTGGCCAATGTGGCCAGGCGTAAGACAGCGAACCTGGGACCCGCCGACCCCCCAAGTATAGGCCATCATGCATTCGACGCGGGGGCGTTTCAGAAGTTCGGCAGCGGCGCATGGGGTCCCGATTAAAAAAGCTGGCCCCGATTAAACAAACACCGCGCTCCCCTGCAGGCCCACCAGGGAGAAAGACGCCAGGAAGACGGGGACGGGCGAGAGGAATGAGAGAGGTTGCGGAGCCAGAAGAAACATGAAAACACGAGGAGGAAGGGGCGAGGACCGAATGACGATGAAAGAGGGGAGCCATGCAAGGAGCGCAGGCTCCTTCCTCTCCTTTTTTTCGCCTCCCCTGTTCTCCTCCCCGCATGTTTTTGTCCCCCCCAGGAAACCCAGTCCATGCTTCTTCTGAACCCACAACGTCTTCCATCTCCTCATCTTCCACATTATACCCCGACCTTCCCTGGAAGTTTCCTTCCGATAAATGTGTTCCGCTCCCTTCCTTTACCGTC